GGTGGAGGGAGGGCGAGGGGCAGGGCGAGGGTCCCATCCCGGAGCGGAGATGACCGGGGGCCGTGGCCAAACTGGAGCTCGGGGAGGGTCAGGCCGTGGACGTGGGTTTCACCTTGGATGGAGGGAAAACGACAAGGTGGAATCTGGGGTGCCCATCAGCCCACCACGGGGTCACGGGGGGCCTTTAATGAAAGGACAGTGTGGACGTGGGGGCGGGGGTAGATGAGGCAACCAGCCAGCGCCGATGACGCAATCTGAGAGCAGAGCACAGGGAGCCGACACCCTGGACCGGGAGGGGCAGTGGGGTCTGGGGGCACCCCAAACTCAGGTGGGGCTGAGCCCTCAACCTGAGGAATCGGGTGCCGCCTCTGAGTAGGTGGAGTCGGAGTGGAGTTGAATTGTACGACAGACACCAGCTGGTGTCCCAGGACACCCCCGCCCGCCCCCCCCACACACACACACTGGAATTGGTGACCAGGACCGATTTCGGTACCACAGGGTCCTGGCCCGGTGCCCCGCGGGTACCGGGGCGACTGTGGGCGTGTCGTGCTCACTCGTTGCCTCTGGGACCCATCAGTGACCAAACTTGCTCGTTTAAGACGCGTTTCCTTTCTGGCTGATGAAATGTCTCCTTTTTCCTCTTGTGTGTGTGGGGAAACCACGTACTATTTCATGAGGAAAAGGGGCTGCGTGCGAGTCCGCCGTGACGCGTCCCCGGGTCTGACTCGGAGCGAGTGAGTCTGATTGATGAGTCAGCTTCCGGCCCCAGGGACCCCCTCGAGTCTGCAGCTGGAGCCCGGAGCTGGATGGGGCGTCCTACGGAACCGCAGGGGAGCACCCGCTCTGGTCTTTGGAGGAGAGGGGAGGAGACGCGGGCAACGTATCAAAGAGGCGGAGGGCCCGGAGGGCAGGAGTCTTGCCGTGGAAATTGCTAATTGCGCTTTAATGGTAGTCAGGAGGGAGGGAAGGCCAGGATCACAGAGCTGCACGCTGCCCGCCTGCGCCAGGCCGAGCTCTGCCGGCCTCGCCGGTGCGGACCCCCAGCTCTGCGCCCCCCGAGCAGACGGGCCTTTGATGTGTGATAAAACAGAACCAGGCCACGGGGGTGTGGCGGGCGCGGGCCTCGGAATATCAATTAACCTGCTCTGACAGCCTCAGCGGAGCCAGCGGCCGGCGTGTCGCCGAAGTGGCGGCCGGCTGGATGCTGTGTTCTCCGTAGGGCCTGGCTGATGCGCCCGCACCCAGCTCTCCCGGAGGTCAGACCCTGCGACCTCGGGGCGACCCTGACCAGGCCCGTTGTGGCAGGGCCGGCTGCTGCTCACCGACTTACGGCGTCTTGCTTTGCCAGATTGTGCAGCCATGAACTTGCTCTCGGCCAAAATTGCTGTTTCTTCTCGAAAGAACAGCCCACAGCCCTAGCTGGTGTGGCTCAGTGGATAGAGCATTGGCCTGCAGACTGAAGGCTCCTGGGTTCGATTCCAGTCAAGGGCACATGTCTGGGTTGCCAGCTTGATCCCCGGTTTTGAGGGAGGGGGTTGCAGGAGGCAGCCGATCAATGATTCTCTCTCATCATTGATGTTTCTATCTCTCTCTCTCTCCCTTCCTCTCTGAAATCAATACAAATATATTTTTAAAAAGGAAAGGAAAGGAAAAACAGCCCACAGTCTGGACGGTGGCAGGACCCTGTGTGGACACAGGCGTCCGGGAAAGACTTCTCCGAGGGCTCGGCCTGGGCTCCCACCTGAGAAGCCGGAACCGCGCTGCCCGACGCAGGGCCTGGGTCCCTGGGCCCCTTTCCAGAGGGGCCCCTCTGGGCTGGCGCGGGCGGGCCGACTCCCCCATCGAGGCGGGCTGCCCCAGGGTGTGTGAGGCTGCCCTGGGGGTCCCTCGGGGGCCTGTTTCTAGCACCTCTGATTCTGGGAGCGCGGCTGGCCGGGATTCGCCCGAGCCCCACCTCCTGGGGCTCGGAGCCTCAGATCCCCCGGAGTGATGCGCCGGGAGCCCGGCTAATTAGGGAGCTGCTCCTCACTTTGCTGCACTTTCCCGTGTAATTGGAAGTCGGTGAGAGCGACTCCCCCAAATAGTTCTAAAAGCTGCGGACCACATACTGACATCAGCTGCCTATTCGCGGGGCGAGATGCTAATGATCGCTCTGCAATGCAATATTAAACGCAGGGGCCGTCCCCGCGGAGCCGAGCGAGGTCGGAGCGCCTGCCTCCCTTCAGCGTCTGAAAGGGACTCCACGGGCCGGCGCCAGCCCCGGTCCCTCCCTCCAAATAAAGGGGAAAAGGGTCTGAATGTAGCCGAAGCTCAGGAAACCGGGCTGGGCGCCCGGCTGCGAGGGGCTCTCCGAGGTCTCCGCGTCTTGGCGGGCTCGCTGCTGCGGATGCTTCCGTTTCCGAGAGCCCAGCCCCGCGCCCGCTGCCGCTAACAAGGACTTGAGGGAGCCAAAGGCTGTGAAAAATATCTTTTTGCACTTCTGCTTCGTTAGTTTAGAAACCAGGGGTCCCGCGGCCGTGCGTTTTCCTGCATAATTTAAGAAATTAGCGGGAGCATGCCTGGTTTTCCCAGCCCGCCCTACTCTGCAAATTTGTTTAGCTTTTCTTTAAAACTGTCACCGGAGGCTGTTGGAACCTAAATATTTTAATATTGAGGAAAGCCAGGCTTGCTTGTTTGTTTGGTTTTTTTGAGAAAGACGTTGCTGCCCAGCCGGCATGGCTCAGTGGTTGAGCGTTGAGGAGGTCAGGGTTCGATTCCCGGTCAGGGCACATGCCTGGGCTGTGGGCTCGTCCCCCGGTGTGGGGCGTGCAGGGGGCAGCCAATCAATGGTTCTCTCATCATTGATGTCTCTCTCTCTCTCTTCCTCTCTGAAATCAATAAAAAATACTTTAAAAAAGAAAAACATTGCTTGCCCCATCCCCCCGGGGTCCTGGGAGTCAGGTGCTGAGGGTAATGAGCGACCTTGAGTCTGACCTTACCCCACCTGTCCGCCCTCGGACCTTAATCAGCCCAGTTCTCATAATGACCGAGAGGGAGGGGTGTGTGGCAGGGGGTGTCCCCTTCTGAGAGCCAGTGTTGGAACCCCGCCTGACCCCCGCTGCAGAATGAAGACCTGAAGCTATCTGTGGCCTCATTTCACTCTTGCAAATGTATCTGGCTGTGCAGTTAGAAGCACTAAGGTGTGTGTGTTCGTGAGTGTGTGTGCATATATGTGTGTGCATGTGTGTGGGTGTGTATGTGTATGTGAGTGTGTATGTGTGTGTGAGTGTGTATGTGTGTGAGTGAGTGTGCATGTGTGTATGTATGTGTGTCTATGTGTGTGTGTGTGGGTGTGTGTATGCGTGTGCGCACGAATGTGCGTATATGTGCGTGTGTATGTGTGTGAGTGAGTGTGCATGTGTGTATGTATGTGTGTGTATGCGTGTGCGCACGCATGTGTGTATATGTGCGTGTATATGTGTGTGTGAGAGAGAGAGAGAGAGAGACGGCTCCCGGGACTTGGAAAGACTTTAGAAACTGTTTAATGTTGATATTGCTGAGGGACACACAGCCATGTGCACCCACAGGAAGATGGCGATCTGTAAAAATGTCGCTGCTTCAGAAATTAACCGACACAGTTAACGTTACTCCGCAAGCCTAGGAGAATTTCCGTTTTGGAACTTGACGAAAAGTTGTTGCTGCGTACCCGGAAGAACAAATTATTTTTTGGGAAAAAGGAAGGAGGAGGAACATGTCCTGCGAGAGAGAGCTAAGTTATAAGCAGCGATGATTTCAGCGGTGAGGACGGCACAGGCCTCTAAGGCCGGCAGAGGCCAGGGCCAGCTTCCGACCAGCGTGCGGACTGCGATGCCAGTGGCGTCAGAGGGGCAGGGGCAGGCGCTGCAGGGACGAGGCCGGGCTGGCGGGTGAGCCGCAAGAAGACAATGCGACCGCAGCCTCACGTCATTTCCAAAATAAAAAGGGGCTCCACTCGGTACTTGACCGAAAAGGTGAAAAGCGCCGGAGGACACAGTTTAGACGCAAGTGACGTTTCTCAGCTTTTGCACACGTCCACTCGGCGCTGGAATCAAAGAGGAAAGTGATCGATTCGGCCAAAAACGTGTGTGAGAGACAGCACCACACACGAGATGAAAAGCCGAAGACAGGCTGCGGGTGATGCTGGCAACGTTGTTGGCCTCGAAGGGCCTGGGGTAGCGTTTGCCAAAACGGGTTAATGCTTTTAATATGCAAAGAGCTCTTGTCAATAAATAAAAGGACGAGAACCCCAAGGGGACGAGCAGAGATGGCAGGAAGAGGCATTTCTGGAAAAGAAAAAAACGCAACTGGCCAGTAAACATATGGAGAAAACGGTTGAGCCTCATTAATGATCAAAGAAACACGCGCACAGCAGCAGTGCGGCGCTCCGCTCGGCCTTGGCCGGCGGTTTCCCCAGACGACGCCTGCTGCTGACGGAGATGCGGGAGGACAGCCGCCATCCGGCCCAGGGCGTCGGGAGGCACACATTTATCTGGAGGCTCTTCCCCGGCATCCGGATGCCCGCCCGGCAAGGTTCAGAGACGAGGGTGCGAAACGGGGCGAAGGGAGCAGCAGGTGGGTGCGTCCACCTTCGAGGTTGGACCCACCCGTGGCCGCAGCAGCGAGAGCTCAGGGAGGACGGAGGAGGGAGGAGGGAGGACGGAGGAGGGAGGAGGGAGGACGGAGGAGGGAGGACGGAGGAGGGAGGACGGAGGAGGGAGGCTGGAGGAGCGTTTGGTGACGGGAAACAGACTACAGGTGCGGCTGTCGTTTTACTTCATTTTGTCTTCAGAGCTTCGGTCTTTCTATAAAGCTATCAATTCCTTTATTAATTCTGAAAATTCTGGGAGATAAAAATAGCGGGCGCCTTTGGGAATTCTCCGCCCAGGGCTGGATCCTGGACGGCATCCCCGAGACGCGGGAGCAGGCGATGATGGTCCAGACCCTCGGGATCACCCCCAGGCACGTCAGTGAGTAGCCCCCAGGCCCCCCAGCTGCCGGCCCCCCAGGGAGACCTGCTGTGCCCGCCCCGAGCCCACCCCGCCTAGGCCAGCACCGCTGCGTTTTTTCAGGGAACTCTGTGCATCTGGGCTCCGTCTTTCAAACGTGGCTGTTATCTGGACCCTGCTGGTTCCTGTTCCAGGAATCTCACATCTGAGAGTCTCTCTTTAGGAAACAGTGAAAAACCTGGCAAAGGCGCGTGTGCGGAGATGTGCCTGCCGGCGCCGAGCGCGGCCTGGAAGGGTTAGCGGTCGGAGGGTCAGGCGTGCGTGGTCCTGGGTCCTGAGGTCGAGGCCTTTGTGTTTGGTGCCGAGACCCCTCGGGTGGGAGATGGCGGTGGCTCACTGTCATGAACAGCGAGAGACGGTGGGGCAGGGGTTGGCCCACGGAGTCCAGTGTCCGGGACCCACTCCCACCTGCCGGGTTGTCTTCTTCCTCCCTCTCCCCCTCCTGCTACCCCTCCTCCCCCTTCCTCTCCTCCCCCTCCCCTCCTTCCCCTTCCTCTCCTCCTCCTCTTCCTCTTCTGCAGTAGTGCTGAGCGCCCCGGACACGGTCCTGATCGAAAGGAACTTGGGGAAGAGAATCGACCCTCAAACTGGAGGTACGCCCCCTGTACCCCCTCTGCCCCCCATGCAGCCGAGCAGGGACCCCAACTGCGCCCTGTTGTCGGCAGAGATCTACCACACCACCTTCGACTGGCCCCCCGAGCCTGAGGTCCAGAACCGCCTGGTGGTGCCCGAGGGCATCTCGGAGCGGGAGACGGTGCAGAGGCTGCTGCGGCACCACAGGAACATCGTCAGGGTGCTGCCCTCGTACCCCGGGGTCCTGAAGGTCATCAGCGCTGACCAGCCCTGCGTGGACGTCTTCTACCAGGGTGAGCGCGGCGGGCGCGGCCACGGCTCAGAGCTCGCACAGTAACCGCCTCCGGGTTCCTCGCTCACATGTGGGAGTTCATAACGAGGTCATGCCTGGCGGTGAATGAACACGCGGTGTCGGAATATGTTCATCACCAGCCGTTAATCACGCAGAGCGAGAGGCTGAGAACCGGAAGGTGCATTCTCTGCTGTTTGTTCGTCTCTGCAGTGCGCGCAGCAGCCACGCTTTTCAAAGAGTGATTAGCGGTGGAGGCGTAGGGACCGTCACTCCTCACGAGCGAAGTCACTGCCTGTCAATCAGGCGTCGTCTGTGCTCTCTGGACGTGCCGGTCTCGGACGGTCTGAGAACCCAGACCCTGCTTGGGCCGCGTCCTCCGGGCTGTTCGCACAGGACTGGCCCCCAGGCCTGCAGGGACGTAGCTTCACAGTCACTGAGCGAAGACGGTGCCGAGTCCTCATGGCCTTGAAAACAGTCACTTAACTCACCTGTGCCTTTAATTCCAAACACGAGGGCAGCCCGGCCGGCGTGGCTCGGTGGTTGAGCTTTGACCTATGACCCAGGAGGTCACAGTTCGATTCCCAGTCAGGGCACAGGCCTGGGTTTCGGGCTCGATCCCCAGTGGGGGGCCGTGCAGGAGGCAGCCGGTCAATAATTGTCTCTTATCATTGATGTTTCTCTCTCTCTCTCTCTCTCTCTCTCTCTCTCAAAGCAATAAAAATATTTATATATTTTAAAAA